CTCAGATGTGCAGGCTGCAATAGCTACAATATCTAACTCCCTGCAGTAGGAAAAAGACTCATAAACTAATCTGATAAAAGGTTCCTTCCATTCCTTCCTATTTTACATGTCATGCTCATTAGCATGACCAATAAAACCATAATTTATATTCTCCACCAAATCACATCAGCAGGAGCTGAATGACATGGCCACTGATTAGAAGGAGAAATTGAATACAGCAGACTTGATGTTTTGTTTGACTGAAGAAACAAGAATAGACTTGTACTGACCTCTTGTTGAAAGGAACACATTACAGATATCTTGATGGAAGAGTTTTCATCAGGGGGCCAATTTTTGTCTTTACCTTCTCTAGAATATTTCTGGAAACCAACCACTTAGGTTTCTAGCTATAAGTTCTTGCACTCTATGAGGGCACAGAGTATATTTTTGCCACCACAATAGTAGTATAGCGTAGTAATTTAAAAGTTGAGATTTGGAACCACATAACCTAGTTTTTATCCAAACTCTTTCTCTTGTGAGCTCTGTGATCTTGGGCTGCGTGTTTAACTTCTCTAAGCATCAGTTAACTTATTATAAAATGGAACAATAATAATAGCTGCCTTATAAGGTTATGAGGATTAACTAAGATAGTATGTGTAAGTGTAAGCCCATGGTTTGGCACATAGTAAGCACTTATTAAATATGAATTATTATTGTTGTTTTAACTTAAGCAACTCCATTTTGTACTAAGTTATTTGAGGATCTGACTCCCAAATCTTGGTTTAGTAGCTCCCTAGTGACAAGGACTGTGTTCTGTTCATCTTTATATATATAGTGTATGGCATATAGAATGTTGCTTTATACTATATTGGCACATATATGTAAGAAAGACTAAATTATATTCTCTTATATAAGTAATCTGTCATATATTTGTGGTGTGATTTTGTTCAGGAAAAGCACAGGATATTGCCAAGGTTTTGAACACTATAGTTGTAATTTATAGAGATGCAAGAATCCATGTCATAGCAATAGTTTTCACCCTTCTTATCCCAAGGAGATGTACTCTATACACAGCATTCTCCAAGAGACATACTTAGCATCAAGAACAACACTCACACATTTATTGTAACCCTATCCATATTTCTTCCATTTAGGAATGTAAGTTATTATGCAAATAATCAAGAATGACCCAATGATAAGTTAAATTAATATTTAAATCATTTTAAACATTATTATTTCAACCATCATTGGTATTGTGTTACATGGTGACTGTATCAAATTCCTTCAATGAATGTTTTGAATTCTTCAAAATTCTGCAAAGTCAACACCTTTAATTTCTCACCATTTCCTTTTCACTTAGTCACCACTAGCTATCACCTCTATGAAACTCTCTGTTCTCTTAGTTTTCATGACACCAGTATTGCTTTGTTACTCTCCACTCAACCAAAACTCTTAAAAGATGGCAGTGACTACTGATCATATCTTGTCAGTCTTCATTCTCTCTACCTTCTAAGTAACATTCAATATTACAACTATTCAACCCATGAATGTCTCTTTTCTCTTGGTTTCCTTAACACCAGAAATGCTTTTGCTCTTCCTTTTAGTCTTTTAACCACTTCCAACTCATGATGTGCTGCTTCTCCCTCACCTACCTCTGCCCTTGGGATTCTCCAGAGATTTTTCCCAAGGCTCTCTTATGTTCTCTCCTACTCTCCCTTTCTTGGGGATATTATCAATTTCCAGTATTTCTGCCATTACTTTTAGCAGTATAACCTCTGCATATTTACCTCCTGGTCGCCCTCCCTGTCCCTCTCTGATCCAATGTTACTAATGCTGCTGGATCATTTGGAAGTTCATCTGGCATCTCAAGTTCAATATGCCTAAAATATGTATTGTTTCTCCACTAAAACCAGCTCCTCATCATTATTTTTGTCAGTAGATATCATACTTATCTTAAGCAGTCTTAAAAACCTTTAATTTTTTATAAGAGGTGGGGTCTTGTTCTGTAGCCCAGGCTTGAGTGCAGTGGTGTGATCATGGCTCAAATGCAGTCTTGACCTCTGAGGCCCAAGCAGTCCTACCACCTCAGCCACCCAAGGAGCTAGAACTACAGGCATGTGCCATCACACCTGGATAATTTTGTTAATTTTTTGTAAAGACAAAGACTCACTATGTTGTCCAGGCTGATCTTGAACTCCTGGATTCAAGTGATCCTCCTGCCTCAGCCTCCCAGAGTGTTGGGATTACAGGTGTGAGCCATTGTGCCTGGCCCTTAAAATTGTTTGAGTTAATTCTGGTACTCCTTTTTTACCTCTAGCTTTCTTTCTTTTATTAATTACCCTTTTATTTCATTAAACTGTGTAGTGCTGCCTAGGCCTCCTCCGCATTGTCTTTGAATCCCTCTATTTTCTACTTCCTCTGAATGGTTTTGCCCAGTTGTAGATACAGTGAAGAACATCGTACAAGCATCACAGGTCAGCTGAGGCAAGAGGTGTAAAGCCATTAGTTTCAATACAATGAAATAGAAGTAACAAAGAGATGCATCCCAGGGAAGAGAAGACAGGAAACACTTCTCAAAGGGAATGACATAGAAGCCAAATCTTGAAACATGCATAAGAGTCAGACTGGCAAAGGCACAATGATTTTGGAAATAATAACATGCAAGGGAATGCAGGCAAAGGAGACCATGACTCACTGCTGAAGTGCAAGCGGCTCTGTAAGGCTGAAACTGCTTCATGGAGGAGTAATACAGGGAAACAGAGGGTCGTGCTCTAGATGTGGTAGGAATGGAGGGGAGCATTTGGGACATGATTTCAGTTATTTATTGGCCATGTAACAAACCATTGTGCATCTGCATGCCCTAAAACAGCCTTATGTATTATTTCTCACAGTTCTTCAATTAGGAAGCAATCTTCAGGGATGATGCATCTCTGCTCTATGGTGGCATAAGCTGGAAAGGTTTGACAGGGGCAGGAGAATCCAGAAGCCTCATTCACATGTCAGGACAATGAAGGCTGGCTGGATTTCTCTTTTTTTCATGTGGTCTCTTAAAGATGAAGTACATGGAAGCTATATTTTATGAGGGCAAAAAATGTAAGCTGCAGAGCTTTGTAAGGCTTGGGGCCAGAAGTCACATGGCATCCCTTCCCCACATTCTATTGATCAGAGCAAGTCACAAGACCAGCTCAGCTTCCAGAAAAGGAGAAAGACACCCCTGCCTCCCTTTGGACAGGGCATTAGGAATGTAAAGGTAATGTCAGCAAACATCTTTGCAGATGTTCTACCACAGAACTTATAGATCTCTGCATTCTGTAGGGAACTGATGTAAGATTTTAAGCAGCATACTGACATTTTAAACATGGATGTTTAAAAGTATGTCTTTGGTTTCTTTATAGAGATTGAATTCAGAGGTCAGGAGCCAGTACCTGGAAATAGGTTAACCTCAGAAAATTCTTCTCTGCATGCCCACGTGCCTTGCCACAATTTTTTCTCCTCATGGAAGCAGATGGAATGAACAAAATATAACATGCTTTTCTTTTTTAAAGCGAAATACCACCAAAGTACTGCCCAGGACTCTGTGCTAATTCCAGAAAAATGGACTCACATCTGTTATGGGGGAGGAAATATGTAACACCACAAATCCTTTGCTTAAAGCTTTTTGTTTAGAAATAATACTGCATTGCAAAGTGGAGTGATATGGTTAATGATAATATATTGTATATTCCAAAATAGCTAGAAGAAAATATTTTGAATGTGCTCACCACAAAGAAATGATAAATATTTGATCTGACAATTTTTTTGATTTATTATACAATGTAAACATGTATCGAAACATCAGACTGTATTGCATAAATATGTACCACTATTGTCAATTAAAAATAAAATTAAGCTTTTAATAAAAGAAATACTACTTCTTGCTTCTAACATTACTGTTTCTATAAATAAACCAGACAAGTCAGATGAGACTTTCAGGGAGGGCAGAAACCTGCTTTGTATTTCCAAGGCTTGTTTCTGTGTAAAAGTATGTAGATATATGTGATGTATGTTAAGCTTGTGAGGCATTTTATTTGTGTACAAAATGAACACCTTGACCCTTGCACATAGTCCCCACTACAGAGGTCTGCAGGGGCACTGCCTATGTAAAAGCCGCACACAAAAAAATTGACATATAACATTAGTAGAAATACCTAATGTAGGTGATTGAGGGATGGATGCAGCAACCACCATGGCATGTGTATACCTATGTGACAATCCTGCCGAGCTGCACATGTACCCTAGAACTTTAAGCATCATACAAAAAATTGTCATCATTTGAAAGGTTGTATTGCATCACCACGGTACTGAATCTCCTTCATGAATAGCAGTTTTAATATGTAGGCAATTGTAACTTGAACAGAAGACAGCAGACACGTAATGCTTATCGAAGTTGCCTAGAGCAAACTGAGTTCTAAAGTCTGGGAATGGACAGCAGACGGTCCTTCTGGTTTTCAGGGGTTTGTATAGCCCCTTCACCTAGGGGTTTCTGGATCTGGGATTTCAGTCTATAAAGAAATGAGTCTCCCTTTATTGGTACAAGAACCTTAGAATGAGGCGGGAATATGGTCCCTCCTAGTCAGTGTTCAGGTACTCTGTCACCATCACTAAATATTTCATTAATACTATGGTGAGCATCAACTTGATCTTCTTCCCCACCCCCTCCCCACTCCCATTCACACCCAGAGGTCAGTAGCTAGAAGCCAGGCTCTTTTGGAGAGATTTGGTCTAAATCTCAGTTTTGCCACTTCCTAGTTACATGACTGCAAGCAAACCCCTTATCCACTCTAAGCTTTGGTTTCCTCCTCTGTCATGTCTCAGTAATCATTGCACCTTCCTTGAGGGATTTCTGTAAAGGACTAAAGGGAATAATATTTAATTGCACTTAACCCAGTGCATGCTACCAGTGTAAAAAAGAAAAATTAACTGCTACTGTTTTAATGGGCTTCCTGCTGATATTTGGTGTTTTTTTTTTCTTTATTTCTCAGGGAGATGTTAATCTCTGTGGCCCTGGGCCAGGTGTTATCCCTCCTTATTTGTGGAATTGGCTTGACTAGCAAGTATCTGTCAGAAGATTTCCATGCCAACACACCAGTCTTCCAGAGTTTCCTCAATTACATTCTTCTCTTCTTGGTCTATACAACCACACTAGCCGTCAGACAAGGTAAGCTCACAAAAACACCAGGAATACAGCTTTTAGAAACACCTAAAAAAATGATGAGCCATGACCAGATGACATTTTGCCGCTTACAGCATCAGTTAAGATCATTAAAAACCCCAGATCTTACTTTTCTATTTTGCAGTAATACAGTAAACAAAATGAATGAATAAATCACACAGAAAATTAATCATATGAATTCAGCAAGAAGTGGGAACTGCATGTATAGGCAAAAATGTACAATTGCTCGCTATTTGAATCCCTGTTAACATTACTTGTATCCTCTCAGTGGAATTAAATATGTTTTTCCCTGGAACTTGGAACAGGCCTGATGCAGATATTCTAAATAATGCTTGCCCTGAGAAATCCAAAGAAATTGCAGACAAATAGATATTCTGTGGGAAAATGACACAAGAAAGATACAAATTGTAAACACAGACAACTCTATCAATAACAACACAGAAGAAGAAAAAAAGAAAACTACCACAAATGTTCAGATGAGACGTGAAATTATTTTAAACTTGAAATAATTAAAGCAATAAAAGAAGTCCTCCAAAAGTCAATGCAAGAAAGCCAATTTTTAAGAGGCAGTTGCAGTTGAAAAATCTCAGGATATATCCCTGGAGGGGATGCTTCAGATTCACACGGTGATGCCACTGAATCTGGTGTCTTGTAGCTTGAATGTCCCCTCCAAAACTCATGTTGAAATGAAATTGATTGCCACTGTGACAGTATAAAGAGGTGGAACTATTAAGAAAGAGATTACTAAGCTATGAGGGCTTCACCCGCATGAATGGATTAATGCCATTATCATGGAAGTGGATTCCAGCTAAATGTGGGTTTGGCCCCCTCTTTGCCTCTCTTGATCTCTTTCTGTGTGCTCTCGTGCCTGTCTGCCATGTGTGGATGCCGCAAAAAGGCCCTCACTAGATGTGAGCCCTTTGACCTTGGACTTCCCAGCCTCCAGAACCATAAGAAATAAATCTCTGCTCTTTATAAATTAGGCAGTCTCAGGTATTATGGAATATGTTATTCATTATAGCAGCACAAAATGGTCTATGGCAAGGTGTAAACACTTTTTTCTATGGCTCAGAAATAGCCATCAATTTTCCCCAAAGTAGTAGCTCTCAACTGTAAAATATGCATTGAAAAAAACATCATTAATACATTTGGAGATAATTATATACATTAATAATAGATAAGGACACATGTACGTATAGCTGTGTACACCAATTTTAATAGTCACACTTTTTTGAAATATGAATGAGAACCATTTATCAGTATTTAATTTCTATATTTCTTTATTTGGATTACTGTCCAGAATAATAATGCTTAATTATAGTGATTTGACCAATACTGGATTTTATCTTCTAAGTGGAATAAAAATGAACAAGTTGATACTGAATTCCAGTCTAGTTTTAGATTTGTTTAAAGTATTGTAGAATCTAATTTTACTTAATCTCAAAAATTGATGCTGTGAATGCTTGCTTTTTAAAGTTTAACATTAGTAAAAATCATTATTTTAACAATAAAATCTCAGGCCACAAAGTTGTTGATATTGAATCTTAGCTATATTTCATGAGTGTGATTTGGAAGCTAATAATTTTGAATGAAGTAAATGTGTTATCTGAAGTGTCAACAGAAAGAGTCAAACCCTGTAAAATATTTGAAGAGATTTATTCTGAGCCAAGGTGACCATGGTCCTTGACACAGCCCTCAGGAGGACCTGAGAACTTGTGTCCAAGGTGGTCAGGGTGCAGCTTGGTTTTTATTTAATACATTTTAGGGAGACATGAGTCTTCAATCAAATACATTTAAGAAATACATTGGTTCGGTCCAGAAAGGCAGCAAAACTCAAAGCTGGGGGGGCTTCTAGCTTATAGGTAGATTTAAAAATTTTCCTATTGACAATTGGTTGAGTTTCTCTAAAAACCTGGGATTAAAGAAAGGAGTCTGAATTAAGATAAAGGATTGTGGAGACCAAAGTTCTTTTTTGCAGAGGAAGCCTACAGGTAGTAGGCTCCAGGGAGAATAGGTTGTAAAGTGTTTCTTATCAGACTTAAAATCTGTGTTGATATTAATGCTGGAGAGGTAAAATGAGGTATGTCCAACCCCCACTTCCCATCATGGCCTGAACCAGCCTTTCAGGTTAAATTCTAAGAGTGCCCTGGCTGAGGAGGGAGTCCATTCAGATAGTTGCAGGGGCTTAGAATTTTATTTTTGGTTTACAAAAGCTATCTTCATCATTTTACTGTTGGTGCCTCAGTCCAGGAACAGACTCTAGGAAGTAAAGAAATGAAGAAATGAGGGAGAAATATTATTAGAAATTCACTCTGAGAGACTAGAAATGTGTAGCTTGGCAATATCAAGAAGAGACAACTAAGCAGTTGGACTTAAAAATCACTCGATGGAAGCTTGAATTAATATTCAAAGAATATAATTATTTAGCCCAGTATAAGGAGTATCATTAAGAAGATTAAATTAAGAACAATTTTTGTAACACTAGAATATTACCCCAAAAAATCCCATGTAAGTGATTAATTTCTCTTCCCTAGTGATTTTTAGAGCCAAGCAAACTACACTACAAGATGGTGCATTGTATTTAGTCTTTGAGTTTTTGTACATCTCACTTTTCAGGAATCCAGGGATATAACAAAAACTTGAATCAGGAAAAAAAAAGTTAAGCCATTCTAAAGGGCAGGGAGAATTATTTCAACCATACCAATAATTTATAGGTAGAGGCTAGAAAAGCTTAGAAGGCGAAATGTAGTAAAATGCCTGGAGTTAATAATTATAATACCATCTATTGAGCTTTTATAACACACCAGCCACTGTGTATGTAAATTATCCTTTTATTCCATCAATCCAAGGAAATAGGTATGATTATCCAAAATTTTATAAATGAGAAAACCAAGGCTCTGGCAGCCCAGGAAACTGCTTGAGGATATAGGAGACCAATTAGTAGAAAGCCCATCGAAGGCAGAACTGTGAGGAAAGTGTGGCTTTCGGACCCACCCTACCCCTCCTTGTGAGGTGCAGGGAAGGCAGGAGGAGGGAGAGGAGACCATTTTGAACAAAATGTTTTTTTCTTCTTTGAATTTCAAAACCCTAAATAGGAAACCAGCCCTGGGTGTAATATGTAGTGAAATACCACAGTGCAATCAGGAGAATGTATTAACCAGGGTTCTCTAGAGCCACAGGACTAATAGGATAGCTGTATATATGAAAGGGAGTTGATTAAGGAGTACTGACTCAGAGGATCACAAGGTACAGTCCCACAATAGGCAGTCTGCAAGCTGAGGAGCAAGGAAGCCAGTCCAAGTCCCAAAAGCTCAAAAGTAGGAAAGCTGAGAGTGCAGTCTTCAGTCTGTGGCCAAAGTCCCCAGAGCCCCTGGCAAATCACTGGTGTAAGTCCAAGAATCAAAAAGGGGAAGAATTTGAGGTCTGATGTTTAAGGTCAGGAAGCATCCAGCATGGGAGAAAGATGGAGGCCACAAGACTCAGCCAGTCTTGTCCTTCCACCTTCCTCTGCCTGCTTTTACCCCAGCCATGCTGGCAGCTGATTAAATGGTACCCACCCAGATTGAGGGTGGGTCTGAGTCTTCCAGTTTACTGACTCAAATGTTAATCTCCTTTGGCAACACCCTCACAGACACACCCAGGAACAATGCTTTTCATCCTTCAATCCAATCAGGTTGACATTCAATATTAACCATCACAAGGATGTTGTAGACGACTTAGAGGGTAGAGTGGAGGTGAATAGGCAAGAAAGACCAATGGAAAGAGGCTAAGGACTAGGGGCAGCAAGGAATTTGGAGGCTCTTTGGAAAGATAAGGCTGAAGAGGGAGGGCTAAGGAAATTTTGACTGCTGTTAACAGCCTGTGATGGAGGGAATCAATTTCTAAAATACCCTCTCTGGAGATTTTTACCATTTACTCTGATTATCACTAAGTTTGCTGGTGTGTCTTCATTTGGGTGCTTCCTCAGAATGTTTATTTGTTTTGAGCTTCATCTTTATAAGTTTTTAATAGGTAGGCATTAAGCTAACATCTGGAAACGAACATAGTAATTACATTAGTTTTCTATAGGCTGATTCAGTACTATGTTCTGGAGAGATCATAATGTTTCTACTGAGGCATCTGATAATTGGGAAAGAATGAACAACAAAGAGGAAAGGATGAAAAGTCCAGTGCGTGCAAGGGAGAGTCGTAGTCAGAAGTTCTCCTTTCTCACTGCTCCCTGAGAGAGGCAGGTTAGGTCTGAGCCATGTGTTGCCTCCCCAGGCCGCTTAACAGCATGAAGTTAGTTAATATCTTCTAAAATTTAATGATCGTCACATTTAAAACAATGTGTTAAATGCAAGAAGCCCTTCAAGAGCATTAAGGGTGACGTTACTATGAAAGCCTTGCTGAAATTTGACTTCAAAAGTTAAACTGAATTCTCCCTATGAAAATCTCATTGGACCCATGATCAAAGACTTTGAAGCAGCAGTCTCTAATATGTTTCAAAATGAATTCAAGTTGTGTTTGCCCTTGATTATTAATTGATTCCTACAAAAATTTGGGTACCATCTTCCTTATAAAATATCGCATCCCATTGAGCAAATTTTAAGTCTAGCCCTCTTTATAGTTGGAGCTTGGTGTTCTTCCAGATGGTTCTAAAATTTTAAAAAATGCTTACTGTTCATAACAAAGACCTTCATAAGTACAACTTTGTAGAGAGAAATGTACTTCACAAAAGTAGTTTTGTTGACACTGTATTCAAGTTTGAGATTTTAGGTAAAATAGGGATAACTGTTACATCAATAGCTTAATTGCAACCACTTTGAGAAGTTAGTTAGGAAATTAAAATGTACCCACTGAAGTAAAGCCTGAAATCCAAATAACTCATACAAAGTGGGGCTTCAGGAATATGACTAAGAAAGCATAGTGAAGCTTCCAAAAACATTTGTATTTGCCTAGGAAACTCTCAAAATAAGACTTCTCCTTATATCCACTCTTTTCTT